AAAATGTGGGGCCAGGCACATTGGCTCATGCCTGTAATCCCAGCACTTTGGCAGGCCGAAGAGGCCAGATCACCTGAAGTTGGAAGTTTGAGACCAGCCTGACCAACATGGAGAAACACCTTCTCTACTAAAAATACAAAATTAGAAGGATTTGGTGGTGCATGCCGATAATCCCAGCTACTTGGGAGGCTGAGGCAGGAGAGTCCCTTGAACCTGGGACGTAGAGGTTGCAGAAAGCCAGGGCTGCATCATTGTACTTCAGCCTGGAAAACGTGCAAAACTCCGTCTTAAAAAAAAAAAAAAGGAAAATGTGGGGATTTCCTGCAAGTGTATTTAACAGGAGCCACCAAGGCTAGTCCAGCAGGCAGACAGCAGAAGGGACACTCACAGTCGGGGCAGCAGCCATTAAACGCCATCCTGCAGATGCCACAGTTCTCATCGTTGGCCACCCAGAGCCAAGTGGCCACGCCGTTCCAGCACTTAATCTTCACCTTCATGGCAGCAGAGCCTGTAGAGAAAGGGAAGAGAATGACAGGCTAAATTTACTCTGCAGAGCTAGGAGATTTGGGCACCAAAATAGTAATAAGCCTGGCGCAGTGTGGTCCCAGCTACTCAGGGGGCCAAGGCAGGAGGATGACTCCAGCCCAGGAGTTCGAACCCAGCCTAGGAACATCGTGAGCCCCGTTTCTATTTTATTTTTCTTTTCTTTTTGAGACGGAGTCTTGCTCTGTCGTGTGGGCTGGAGTGCAATCTCAGCCTCCCGGGTTCAAGCCGGCCTCCCAAGTAGCTGGGATTACAGACGCGCAGCACCACGCCCGGCTAATTTTTGTATTTACAGTAGAGACAGGGTTTCACCATATTGGTCTGGCTGGTCTCAAACTCCTGACTTCATGATCCGCCCACCTCGGCCTCCCAAAGTGCTGGGATTACAGAGGTGAGTCATCGCGCCCGGCCTAATTTTTTTTTTTTTGAGACGGAGTTTCGCTCTTGTTACCCAGGCTGGAGTGCAATGGCGCGATCTCGGCTCACCGCAACCTCCGCCTCCTGGGTTCAGGCAATTCTCCTGCCTCAGCCTCCCGAGTAGCTGGGATTACAGGCACGCACCACCATGCCCAGCTGATTTTTTGTAGTTTTAGTAGAGACGGGGTTTCACCATGTTGACCAGGATGGTCTCGATCTCTTGACCTCGTGATCCACCCGCCTCGGCCGCCCAAAGTGCTGGGATGACAGGCGTGAGCCGCCGCGCCCGGCCCCTAATTGTTTTAAGACACGGGGTCTCCCTGTGTCGCCCCGCCGGCCTCCCAAGCAGCTGGGATTACAGCGTGCAACCACGCGCCGACTTCCCGCTTTTCTTTTTGATAGGGGTCTCACTGCGTTGCCCCAGCTGGTCTCCAGCTCCTCGGGGGAAGCGATCCTCTTGCCTCGGCCTCCCAAAAAGCTGGGAGTTCAGGCGTGAGCCCCGCGCCGGGCGCGCACGAGAACCTGCAAAGGATGCGACCGGCAAAATGGGGGACCAAAAGCCAACCCGCAGCAGGTCTGCCCGGCCGCCGCCCGCCGAGGCCGCGCCCGCGGGATCCCGCCGCGAGCCGAGCGCGCAGCCCGTGGGCGGGCGCGGAAACAAGGACCCCCAGGGGCTCCGGACACCCGCCGCGCCCGCAGCGCCCCCAGCCCTAGCGGACCGGGCGGGGCAGGCGGGGAGGGAGGGGCGCGCAGGCCCCGCCCCCAACGGCCGCCGCCCAACCCCCTGCGCCCTCGCACCTTCGCCGACCTAATCACGCACGGCCCTGCCCGCCCTTCCGTTGGCAGCGCTGACGTCCGCGCGGGAAGGTATAAAAACGACCACAGTCAGGCCCGGCTCCCTCAGCAACGCCCGCCGAGTCCCGCGCCGCAGTGCGCACGCGCGCCCCCGCCTCTCCCCGTCCCGCGCGCGCAGCCGTCCGCCGGCGGCCAATCAGTAGCCGCTCCGAGGCCGTAGCACCGGAAGGCCTCGCGCGGCGCCGGAGGTGACGTGCTGGCGTGCTGACGCGCGGGCTCGAGCCGATGCCCGATTCCGCGCCCGCCATGGCCGACAAAATGGACATGTCTCTGGACGACATCATTAAACTGAACCGGAGCCAGCGAGGAGGCCGCGGCGGGGGCCGGGGCCGCGGCCGGGTCGGCTCCCAGGGCGGCCGCGGCGGCGGGGCGCAGGCCGCCGCGCGAGTGAATCGAGGCGGCGGGCCTATCCGGAACCGGCCGGCCATCGCCCGCGGGGCGGCCGGCGGAGGCGGCAGGAACCGACCGGCGCCCTACAGCAGGGTGAGTGCGGAGGCCGGCCGCGCCGGAGGGCAGGAGGGGGCAAGCCGGGGCGGCTGGCGGCGAAGGCAGAGCCCGGCTGGCCGATAGGGCTGCTGGAGCGGCCGCCCGGAGGTCCGGAGGGTGCGTGCGGGCGGGCGCGTAGGGGGTGGTGGGCGGGGGCGAGGTCGTGCATTCGGGGTCCGGCCCGGGAGGCTGAGACCCTTTTCAACTCTTTGTTCCGGCCGCCGGGACCTCGTGGCGGCGGGAGCGGAGGGGTCGCGGGGCGCGGCAACAGCGGCGGGAAGTTAGTGGAAGGGAACTGAAGTTGCTGCCGCGGTGGGACCGTGCGGCCGCGTGCTGGGGCTGCTTGAGCGGCCGGGGGGAGCGCTGGCGGCCTCATCTCCGCCGGGTCCTCTCGGGCCGGGAGGAGGACGGGTCCGGGGTCGCCCCGAGGGCCGGGAAAGCCCTGGACTGAGACTCACAGGTCTGCTGTTGTTGTGGTTTTTTCTCCAGCCAAAACAGCTTCCCGACAAGTGGCAGCACGATCTTTTCGACAGTGGCTTCGGGGGTGGTGCTGGCGTGGAGACGGGTGGGAAACTGCTGGTGTCCAATCTGGATTTTGGAGTGTCAGACGCCGATATTCAGGTAAGAGACTAGGGGTTCTCGGTGAGCCGTTCGCCCTGCACAGGACGGATCATGTTTTGGGGGATGTGGCCCTGAGTCCCCTTCCCGCCTTGGCAAAGGGAGCCCTCCCAGCTCTGAAGGGCTGCAGGACAGACCTAGCGCCAGTAAAGCCAGGGTCAGTCCGCAGGCGGGTGCGAGCCTAGCCTAGCCTGAGGATCTGCTGCTCTTAGTCTGAAGATGGGTTCTGTGAGTGAAATCCTGCCAGGGCTTCCGGTTTCTAACACAAAGACTCATCAAATGTGAGTGGCTCTTGGCTGTTAGACTCAGCCCACTTGCTCTTTAAATTTTGTGCCTGTTTTAGTGGGCCAGTGAGACAAAAAGAATCTTCCTTATGTACCTTGCAGAGCAGAGGGAGCCTGTGTGTTTTTCTGGCTCTGTTTGACTTGAGTACTGTCTTAAAAAGACCTTGTAACTTGTGGTTTTATCACTCCCCACCCCCGTGTCCTGTCGGCGACATGATTCTCAAACCCATTGAAGCTTTTCTTTTAAAAAAAAAAAAAAAAAGAAGAAAGAAAGAAAAAGAAAAATTGAATCCCAACGGCATTTAAACTCGTTTTCTGGTTAAGAAGTCACTTTTTGGGAATCAGTTTTGGAGATGGCTGGGCAGGGTTCAGTTGTCCACAGCCTAGCCATTTGCCTTGGGAGGACAGAGTAGGGCCAGTGAGCACTCACAGTGTCTCAACACTTTTTTTAAGGTGGTTTCTAGCATCCACTGGAAACCGCTTTTGGTGAACTCCACTTCCCGCTGTGTGCCTGCGGCCGGAGTATCCCCACACTCTGGGTTCCCTCTCCAACTCCCAGCCTGCCTGAGGTCAGGGCAGTTTCCATGGCAGCGCTTGACTTCAGACTTTGCCGCAGGCTTGAGTAGGAGGAGAGGGAAAGGTGAGCCAGAATCTGCCTTTGGGGGAGGGGCTGGGGTCAGGGTTCCCAAGTCAACAGGCCCTTCAAGCTGGTCTGATATCAGACCAGTTCCCTTGCTCTTGATCTTGGCCTTTACAGTTTCTTGGAACAGCCCTTGGGTGTGTTGTACATTTCCTTTGTTGAAGAGGATAGTGGCTTAATTTTGTGCCCCTTTCTAGTGGGCTTTGCAACTTCCTCTGCCTGCATCGTGGTACACCTGTCAGGTCCCCTCAATAGCAGGAGCCCTCAGACCCAGGCGCTCTTGGAAGTTGCTGTCCCTCCTGCCCTTCCCTTCCCTCATTTCCCATTACCACTGCCCTGCCTCCCAGGGAACCACCCCCAAAACAACTCACTCCTCCAGGGCCTGTCCCTGGGCCACCGGAAGGAGCACGGTTTTGTTGCTTTTCTGACAACTGCTCTTTGCAACTCCAGGAGCTCTTTGCTGAATTTGGAACACTGAAGAAGGCAGCTGTGCACTACGACCGCTCTGGCCGCAGCTTAGGAACAGCAGATGTACACTTTGAGCGGAAGGCAGACGCCCTGAAAGCCATGAAGCAGTATAACGGTGTCCCTCTGGATGGTGAGTGTGGGCGGGGGGGACCCACGCTGATTGTGGGGCTTGTGGAGTTTGGGGCTGGCACCTGTCCAGGTAGGAATATGGGGTACCCCTGTGGCTGAGGACACTTTGCATTTGCCCCTTTGTCTCTCTCTTCCATCTGCCACCTCTCATGCTGCCCCACACATCTGGACCAACCTCTTGTGAACCCCCATCCAGCAAGCTACATCCCTCCCCTCCTTCAGCTCCTTCCGGAAGATTCACTTCTGTGAAGCCTTCTCAGAACCGCCATAGTACACCTCTGAGTGCGGGGCTGTAGTCGTAAAGACAAAGGTACCGGTTCTTCTTCGTCAGGTCACCCACACCTCTCCACCCACGAGCACCCCGACACCTCAGCAAGCAGCCCACCTAGTCTGGACTGAGAAGGAGTGAGGAGGTGTTGGTGGGGTTGCTTCCTTGCCATTTTGTTCTCCCACCAGTATCTCCAGGCCATTTCCCTTGTCGGGGGCATTTGAGACGCACAGAGGCCCTTTCCAGTGTTTGCATGGAGACCAGGGTGTGGTGCCAGCTGAGTTGGTTTCAGAGCCTCTCAGAACGTGTCCTTTTGTATTCTTTGTCGCAGGCCGCCCCATGAACATTCAGCTTGTCACATCACAGATCGATACACAGCGGAGACCTGCACAGAGGTGACTTGCGGGGCCTCTAGGGAAGGGATTGGCCTGGGGTGTGGCTGCATCGCCCTTGGGGTCTTCCCAGGTATGTGAACAGTTCCATTTTCCTTGCTAGCGTAAACAGAGGCGGCATGACTAGAAACCGTGGCGCTGGAGGCTTTGGTGGTGGCGGAGGCACCCGGAGAGGCACCCGTGGAGGCGCCCGGGGAAGAGGCAGAGGCACTGGCAGGAATTCAAAGCAGCAACTTTCGGCAGAGGAGCTGGACGCCCAGCTGGACGCCTATAATGCGAGAGTGAGTCCGGGAGAGCCGGCTGGGGGCCTGGCCAGAGCCCCAGTGGTGAGCAGGCCTCAGTGAGTGCGAGCCACTTTCTCCTCTGTGTTTCAGATGGACACCAGTTAAACAGACCGGCAAATCCGTGTGGACAGGACCCAGGCGTCTCCTCTTGCTCCTGGTTGGGGAGCGGTGGCTGGGGCTGTGCAGCCAATAATGGATTTGTTTCTTTTATGTTTTAAAATAGGATTTAAAAACTCATGTAAAGGTTTTTTTTTTTCTTTTTTTTTTTTTTTTTTTTTTTTTTATTTCTGAAACAGACCTGTTTTGTACCGAGTTATTTTTGGGATAAATTTTACTGGTTGCTGTTGTGGAAAAGGTGGCATTTCCCCCTTTTCCATAATAAAATAGAAATGTGTGTAGAACTGGAAATGTTTGGTTTGTCCCACTGTTGGAGTCCAAGGCTGGGCCAGGACTTTGGTGTCTGTCCAGCTGGAAGGAGGGGGGAACCTGAGTGGAGGATAGAGGGAGCAGCCCCATCTGGTATTGGAAACCTACAGCTGGCGCGGGTTGCGGAGTGGGCTTACCGGCTCCTGGAGGGCCAAGGCTGCCTGCCTACCTTTCTCATCCTCTTTCCTGCCTCACACCTAATGCCTTGCTCTCTAACTCACCAGGTGGGAGGACACCTTTGCCGGGAGCCACCTGTTGACCCTTGTGCCTGTGCCTCCAGGTGAGGGGAGGTCGGATGGGGTGGGCTGCCCTGTGTGCTGCCCACAGCCAGAATGTCGCTGGGCTGTTCCTTTCCTTTTTGTACTCTGGTTTTCAGAGAAACATGCATTCAGCAGTTTTTGACTTTGTAGTGTAATTCCTTTGTTTTTCTATGCCTTTTTTTTTTTTTTTTTCAAACTTTGCCACATAATAAGGCAGGAGGATGTTCTCTTAGTTGTATATTTGATGAAGTAGCTGGTGGAAGCTGAGTGGCTCGACATCTGATACCTGTAATCCCAGCACTTTGGGAGGCCAAGGTGGGAGGATCTCTTGAGCCCAGGAGTTTGAGACCTAGGCAACGTGGCAAAACTGCGTCTCTGCTAAGAATACAAAAATTAGCTCAGTGTGGTGGCACGCCCCCATAGTCTCAGCTATTCCAGAGGTTGAGGTGGGAGACTCTCTTGAGCCCTGGAGGTCAAAGCTGCAGTGAGCCATGGTCAGGACACTGCACTTGAAGCTGGGCAGTGGAGAGATAGCCTTCTGCCCCTTGATGCTGGGTTGGTGACAGCACTTCAAGAATGAGATGGGAAGGGGGACTGAGTGATGCTTTGTGCAGACAGCGAGCTGGATTGGCAGCCTGTGCCCTATGGGTACTTGGAACCCCCTCTGCCTCAGGCAGTCCTGTGGTTTTGTGTTGGTGGGCGTGTCTGTAGTCCCAGCTACTCTGGAGGCTAAGGCAGGAGAATCACTTGAACTCAGGAGGCAGAGATTGCGTTGAGCCAAGATCACGGATCATGCCATTGCACTCCAGCCTGGGCAAAAAAGAGTGAAGCTC